CATACAGTGCAAGCTGCCGATTAAGCGCTCAAACACTAACAAACTGACAAGATCTTTCGCTGTCTATAGCCGGGTACCCATTCCCACCTGGGCAAAGTGAGGAAAATAAGTGTAAAGTGCCTTTCCCAAGGACACAACATCGGGGCCCTGACGGGATTCGAACCCACGACCTTACGGTTGCGAATCCGAGAGCCTAACCGCTAGGCCACAACCTATCCACTCACCGCACGCCACCCTGGATTCAGGTAGACTGTAGTTGTGCATGCAACAAAGAGCCTACTTGTTCCTTGTTCACTCCACAACTTTCCCAAAGTATTCAGATACCATTTTGGGATTCTTCCCGAGACGTTTGACTTGCGTTGAAAGTTGTGGTGTTCAGACCGACGCTGAGAAGACTCACTCTCAAAGGTGTCACAGACAACACCTTGCTCACAGCAAACCCGACCAGTTTTCTTTCTGATAGCTGGTGTCAACTCTGGGTGTTTTTTAAAACCGTCTTTGTAGATCTAATAGCCAGCATTGACGATTTAATTTGTGCCAACCTGGAGGCCGAAGGCTGTTTTGGGTTTTTTTTTTAAATAAATTTTAAGACCACCGATGAACCTTTACAGTGCACAATTTGCACACGTGAAATATGAGATTTTCTGTCTGTAACCTAGAAGGCTGGGGGTTGGATCTCGAGGCGTTTGGCTGGAGAGACAATGGCAAGGAGTCTGGCTATAGGAAAATCGACAGGACTTAGGAGGGGGGGGGGGCAGAAAAAAGGGGTGGGGTGGAGCTGCCGGGGGGGGGGGGGGGAGAGGGGCCCCCCGTTTTACAATGAAAACAGGAAAGAGCTTTTGCTTGGCATTTGTGACTGCTGTTTTCCAATGTGTAAATATATCGCGCGGGCAGGCTCACAACCGTTCAGCCTGGCACCACACAGTTGTACGTGCCTCAATGAGAGTAATTTGTGTCACGACTCGATGGAAGCAGGTGCTCGTCAATGTTTGGGCAAGTGGAGTTATTGGCATCATCTGAAAACTCATTTATTTGTCTTGCTTTCAAATGAAATAAATATCAATCTATCTTGAATAGAACTCAAGATATCTGCGATTGAAGGAAGTGAGGTCGCTTGGTTTCAGTGGGGAAATTAATGAGAAAATGGCCGCCAAAGTTAGGTAAATCCAATGACTAAAGAGTCTTTGAAAACAGAAAAATACCAAAGAGGTTGAGACAAAAAATTAAAATTCAATTAAAATTTTCAAACTTGCGGGAAAATTCTTGTTTCTCCAATTTCTGTATTTTGACAAACGCCTGATTTCACCACGCTGCCTCACATTTTTTTGCTTTTCAAACTTTGTAAAGGCACCAAGGCGAAGCTCATCAACGCCATTTTCCTTCCAACGCTCACATATCAGTGCCAGACATGGACTCTAACAAAAGCCCTAGAGAGGAAACTGGTCACATGCGAGATGAAATGCTTAAGAAGAGCGGTCAACAAAACAAGAAGAGACAAAATTAAAAATGAAGTCATAAGGGACACCGTGGGAGCAACACCAGTCCTTCCACACATTGAAAAACAAAAGGCCAAGTGGTTCGGACACCTCACGCGGATGCCCTCAAACCATCCAGCCCTGAGAGCATACAACATTAAATATTCTGGATGGAGAGCCAGAGGAAGACCAAGGCGACGATGGAGTGAATCTGTGGCAGACACCCTTAAAGATCATGGGATGTCCCTCCTACAGGCCACACGACTTGCTGCAGACAGACACCTGTGTCTCCCCGAGACACCCCAGGGTACAAGCGGAAGAAAAAAGTAAAAGTAAAGTAAGTAAAGGCAGATCTATTCCAAACAGAATTGTTTTTTTGTTTTTTTTTGGTATCAGAAAATTGAGTTGCTTGAGCACTTTTCGATTTACGGGCGAATTTCTAAGGTCACTTCTGAAGGCATTCCCAAGAGGTTTCCACCTCTATGCGGAAAGTTGTGACGCTGAGACCGGCACTGAGGAGACTCACTCTCAGAGGAGTCGTAGATTCTACGTACATAGACAGATTGGATGATGAACTGAAGTTGGTGTTGAGAGAGAAGGTTGACGATACAGCACAACTGTGATATTGTACAAAAGTTAAGCAACCAGTAGGGAATCGAGTGGACGTGATAGTAGAATGCCAGCCTTTCTGCTGCTACTCCTTGGCTTCTATTACTGCTGTCTTTCAGGCACATCCCTGATCTTCTGGTAGGAAAGATCTACACCTGGCCTTCTCGAAAAAGGGCGAAAGACCTCGGAGGTCCCGTGTGCAAGTTGCGCACGTCAAAGATCCCTTGGTGGTCCAAAATCGATAAGAGTAGGCTTCGGCGGCCACTACGTCAAAATCCAAAATTTTCTGCCAACTAAAATGCTTGGTGTGTCCCGCGCGCTTATATGACCTTATGCAATTGTGAGCGCTTTAAAACAATGAATGCCTGGGCAGTGATGATGGGAGAATGGACTATGGAACTGACAGGAAGTTGACAGTACAAGATGGAGATCGGTGTGGCTGTAGAGCTGGTAGAGAAAATACAGCAAGACGAAAAGTACTACACACAATGATGCTGCTTCCAAAGACAAATAAATTTCCCAGCATTCTTTACTTTCCTGGCACTCGTGAAATCAAAGCACCACAACCTGACAACCGTTTTCATTTTTACAGATATTTCCTGGCTGGTCATGACGGAGGAATTGATCACATCTTGTGAAACAGAAACCAATGGAGAAGCCAGGCGAGGAATCCTGAGCAAATATCTGCAGCCAGCCTGCAATCCCTACGTCTAGTAGGACCAGACACCCTTGAAGAAAGCTAACGATTCTTGGCTATGTTTGTTCACATGGACAAAGTTACGCTACTGCCCGCTAGACTTGATGCCTAGGTCTGCACTCATTTCTCTGCTGGTACCTAAGGGTAGATGACTCACTCTCTCTCTCTCTCTCTCTCTCTCTCTCTCTCTCTCTCTCTCTCTCTCTCTCTCTCTCTCTCTCTCTCTCTTCACTACTCGCCTAATCCTAGGTCTGCCCCTATCTCTCTTTCTCTCTTTCCCCATCCCTAGCTATCTCTCTCCCTCCCTCTCTCTCCCTTCCTCCAATCTTCCAAAACATACAACCTTGCCGTCTGCTAGAACCCGGACCTTTCAGACTTGTATTGTCCTTGCCCTAGATCGTGAAGGCCACAGAAAAAACTCTCCGAACATTGCTCTCAAACTAATCAAGATCAGCAGCGCTATCCTTTAGCTGGGCCTTGTGGGCAGATCCCCCATCTCTACAGACAAACTAACCGTCTTGTTGTTGTTGTTGTTGTTGTTGTTGTTGTTGTTGTTGTTGTTGTTGTTGTTGCTGCTGTTGTTTTTTTGGGGTTTTTTGTTTTGTTTTGTGTATGTGTCATGTATGTATTTTTAATTATGTGTTTTTGTATGTATGTACATGTATATATGCCATTGTAAACCAAATAATTGCTTTTCTGGGATCAATAAGAATTTAATGTAATTGTTACTATTTATAACTTGCTCCTGTTTTGCCAGAAAGTCTATGTCTACCATATTTCCGCTACAGATGAAAGCTCCAACAACTGTAGCTGTCGTTGTGTTGTGACAGTGACGGTCAACGTACACTCAATAACTCGCAACACTTTGGACTTTTCGTGTGGCTCAAGGACATGAAATGAGGAGACCAGGGAGCTAATCTCCTAGACCCGTATGTCCCGGCTTATTCACAGTGTCATGGCATAGTGTGAATGAAACTGGTGACAAAACACATCCTTGAGGGGCCCCTGTATTTGTTGTGATGTATGTCGATGAAGAATGTTTTAATTTTACATACTGGGTTCGGTTGGTCAGAAAATTGCCTATCCATGATATTAAATTGACGTCAACACCTATGTTTTCTAATTTCTTTATTTAAAAGGATAGCTGGCTGGATAGTATCTCTCTGATAGTATTAAAGGCTGACGAAAAATCCACAAACAGGATCCTACAGTATGTCGTGCGAGACATAATAAATAAATGGCGACATTATAGCGACGTCTGTTTCCTACATCCTGGGTACCGTATTCCTGAGGTTGTGCCAAGAAATAATTGTGCGTGGCTGGAAGAAGAAAACATTATAGCGACGTCTGTTTCCTACATTCTGGGTACTGTATTCCTGAGGTTGTGCCAAGAAATAGTTGTGCGTGGCTGGAAGAAGAAAACATTATAGCGACGTCTGTTTCCTACATTCTGGGTACTGTATTCCTGAGGTTGTGCCAAGAAATAATTGTGCGTGGCTGGAAGAAGAAAACATTATAGCGACGTCTGTTTCCTACATTCTGGGTACTGTATTCCTGAGGTTGTGCCAAGAAATAATTGTGCGTGGCTGGAAGAAGAAAACATTATAGCGACGTCTGTTTCCTACATCCTGGGTACCGTATTCCTGAGGTTGTGCCAAGAAATAGTTGTGCGTGGCTGGAAGAAGAAAACAAGACCAAAAGGAAAAAATTTACAGTAACAAGTTGTAAAAAACTTCCTTAGACAGCGATCTCACGTCAGCAAAAAGAGTTTGTTTTGTTTTGGGTTTTTTGTTTGTTTTTTTGTTTTTGTTTGTTTTGTTTAGTTATGTTTTTGTTTTTGTTTTTGTTTTTGTTTTTGTTTTTGTTTTTGTTTTTGTTTTTGTTTTTGTTTTTCTTTTTGTATGTTTTGTTTTGTTATGTTTTTTTTTGGGTTTTTTGTGTTGTTTGTTTTGTTTTGGTTTTGTTTTGGGTTTTTTTGCTTGTTTGTTTTCCTGTTGACTGTGCAGATTCTTGAACTACGTTGTTCAGCCACTTTGAGGCAGTCCATATTTTGATAATGTCCCATGGCCTTACTGATAGTTCTGATAAGATAATTTTTTGTTGACCTCTCAACTCCTGTTGTGAACCCGGAGACGTCTACACATGTTGCTTCTTTCAGCAGAAAAAGTTTGTCTCAGAATTTCGCTCCGTTGGCAAACAAAATAAGCGCCTGTCTACCATCTCCAGAGATCCGCCCAGAGTTGAACGTTCATCATAATTATTCACAACAAATCCGTTTTGTTTTTCTGTATGTTTTCTTCTAGCAGCACAGCCCACAGCGATTCCTTCAGCTCAGGGTCCATGGATACCCTCACGTTATCTCTCCGTTCATTAACCTGATTTGATACCACCGGTTCCCAGGGAAAGTGTTTACGTGAAAAGTGCTGTTCCAAATGTTTTATTCTTCTGTGTCTTGTCATCGCTAGCTCATCCTATATAAACGGACGCCAGCTAACTCGGCAAAATCACAAAGAAGTAGAGACTACAGGGTATGTATGATTTCTTCTTCTTCTTCTTCTTCTTCTTCTTCTTCTTCTTCTTCTTCTTCTTCTTCTTCTTCTTCTTCTTCTTCTTCTTCTTCTTCTTCTTCTTCTTCTTCTTTTTCTTCTTCTTCTTCTTTTTCTTCCTTTTCTTTTTCTTCTTCTTCTTCCTTTTCTTCTTCTTCTTCTTCTTCTTCTTCTTCTTCTTCTTCTTCTTCTTCTTCTT